TAATAAATCAGTAAATCATCATTTACTAATTTGTTATTGATCTTAGTTTCTTAGCTTTATATAATGGTTGGGAATAAGATAATAGTCTAGAAATATGTATTAATGTTTCTTTTATCATTTTACAAAATATCATTGCATATTTCCACATATTTCATAATGTTTCCACAATGTCTCTAATTTTTACAATATTTCCCCTCAACATTTTCTGACATTTCCGACATATGTCCTATATTTTGGTAAGCGACATTTCCATGGACATCAACATTTTAAACCTTGGTTCCAACACTTAATGTTAATTGAAACACAAACTATCAGGAAAAAAAATTATTAACTCCTCTAGTTGCATGGAAATTAACCTCCACCATGCATTGGGATTTAAAAAACTCTTACAGACACACACACACACACACACAAGAGAGAGAGAGAGAGAGAGAGAGAGAGAGAGAGAGACTTCCCATGTCTCAACCCACCCCCTTCAGAACTGTGGCTGATCAATAATCTCCACTTATGCAACCAGAAGTATAAACTAACCCACATTCTCATGCTTGCCAGCCTGAGATTTTACCATTGCACTGCTAATGTAACAAGGGGATATGTTCTTAGCTGGGATTTTCACTGCACAGAAGCTCAAAAGGATTCTCTATCAACGATATCTAGTCAATCCATGACAGAAAGACAGTATGCACAGGAAATCAGTAATCCTAAATACCTACCGAAAATAACATACTGATCCTCAATCTCCACATCTAATGTGAAATGCATGAATTCTTTACTAATTTTAAGCATGCCAGACTTCTTAAATAGATATTATAAGGTCACAATTTCAGTCTATGAGGTAACTTTCAACTAAGAAGTAAATTCCAACTTACGTTTTAATTTTTTAATCTCTTCCCAAGTAAGGTTGAAGGTAAAAATTCCAGGCGTCGACTGAATCTGTGGAATATTAGTGGTACGAGTGTTGAATTTTGATTGAGCAACATTCGTAGTGTCTATAAGATTTATAGAGCCTGAACATATGGGGATTCCATCCTGTGTCATTTGAACAGAACAATCAATAACATCAGCACCAGCATCGCGGGCTTCCATATATGCAAGATCTGTAGATCCAGGGTAGTCTCCACTAGCTCCATTGTGTGAGATAATGAGCGGATTTGCTGGATGATAAATTAGGTAAAGGAATTAAGTTGGCATTGATGTCTATAGTGCTTTTTATTAAAATATAAATTTATAAAACACCAACAAAAAAAATGAAAGAGAGATCTAGGAGTTACAAGTTACAACAAGACATCAGTATATGCTTGGTAATGTACCTTTTCCAGAACTGTTCATGTTTGCATGAGCAAAGCAATCTGCAAAATGGTTGGGAGAAATCAATATCCTGAAGAAAAAAGTTTTTGAAGCCAAACATGTAATATTTAAGAAGTAGGCAAGTAATAAAAGTCATAAATGTTAAATATTATAGAAAATTACATGCAATTGTATTAAGAATAGTTTTACCTCTTATTTTCTAAGCTATAATATTAACATGTAACCCAGTAAGTTTTTAATTCATTTAAGAATTTAATGGGATCAGGGATGTGTAATAGTTAAGCAAGCAACAAAGCTTCGCTATTTTTCTCCCTTCAAAGCATCTTTCTCTTCTATCCTTCAACCTTTCAATACCAGTTGTTTGATTTTGCTTTCTCTTCTTGTGTTGGCCATTTGACAGAAAAATTTTAAAATTTGTCTCCCCCTTCCATCTGCATCATTCTTGCCCTTTTGTCTCCATTTTATCTTCCCTTAGTAGGTTACTTCATTAAATGATAGCTTCGCCTCCATTCTGGATTTGCTTTCCACTTTTTGTATGGTGCCTACCTCTTCTTTTCTACCAATTGAAGTTATCCTTTCTAGCAGTTCCTTCCATTTCTTCATGGATTTGAATCGTCCTCTTTCCAATTTTTAATCTTTGCCTTTAGCAGCTGCAATTTTCTGGCCAAGATGTGAGGACCCATCCCTTCTAGCAGTTCCTTCCATTTCTACCATTGTCTCATTTTTTGAGAAGAGGTAAAGTATGAATATCATTAAAAGAAAAAAGAAACCCTGTACAACTAGAGGCTGTAACAGGGAGAACCATACAAAAACTAAGCCACTATCCCATCAACATTAACAAAAAGATTTACATAATCAAAAAGGGAACTAAACTCTGAACTGTTTAAGTTAAACTGAGCTGATGACCAAGAAAACAGTTTGCCCACAATTGTATGCCAAACAACCTCCTTTTGACTGCCCTTGTTCTGAAAAATTCTGGAGTTTCTCTCTTGCCATATAGACCACCACACAACTCCAGGGATCGCTTGCCAAATAGCCTTTCCACTTTTACTCAAACCTTGTAACTGCCTCCCTTTCAAGAAACTCTCCACTGATACCAGAACCAGATAGCAACTCTTGTAGGAAAACAGACTGTGTACTTTCACCCAGATGCTATAATAGAAATTACAATGTAAAAACAGGTGATCAACTGTCTCCTCCATCTTCGACCCAGATATAATAAAACCTAAATGGGCTTGATTTTCTTCCCTATCATTCCTTGTTAAGGAAATTAGTGCATGATGAAATAGGGGGCATGACAAACTGATTGATGCAATTCTGGGTGAAATTACACAGTGAATCTGTCCAACTTCACCAATGTTGGAATTTCTTGATTATTTGCCCATGTATACTCTCCAGACAGTGGCAGATCCAGCATCTGGTTATGAAATCAGTGAACCCCCTGCCTGAAGTAATTAGTGATCTTACTTTCTTATCATAAAAGAATCGGATTGTCTTGAAATGCCCACCTGCACACCATGGCAGCAACCACCTGAACCCTTACTCCATCTAGCTTCCCCCATAAATTAGGTCTTTGCAGCTCATTTGAGCCATATACTCCAGTAGCAATGCTTCTAAGACCACCTTCCTACTCCACTTCCACTATGAGATAATAAACTCCAATATGATAGTCCTTGCATGTTACTTTCTTCGAGGTTCCATATCTAATGTTCCTAGCTGTTCCATTTACCAACTGACCACACTAACCACTCTGGTCATTACCCCAAATGCTTACAAAAGATGCTTCTAGGTGCTGAAGCTGTCTCCTATATCATTAAGATATCTGGATTTTGCTTCCATATGAAAGGGCTTAATACCACTCTTCTACAGCTTGAACGCAAGCCTCAAACATACCACAACAAGATATTTAGTCATGTCATCTTAACAAGACTGAAACAATCTAGCTCCTCTTTCTCCACCACCTCAACCCCTCCAAGCAACTGGCTCTTACTATTTAATCCACACGTACCATCACTTTGACCTTCTCCAAAGGGTATTTGGTCAGTTTGATGAGGGATCTGTTTTTATGGATTTCCACCTATGATTGCTACCTCATTTTATCCATTCAGTCATTTTGGTCAGTTTTGTCTCCCATTATTTTAACTCTTTATCATTTGTTCTTTTCTATAGGGGTATTTTGGCCATTTTAAAGGTGGACATTTTTATGGATTTCCACTTATGATACCATACATTTATCCATTCCATCATTTTGGTCATTTTCATTATCTAGTATCATTTTCCCCTGTTCATATTTCATCATTTTGTCCTTTCCTAAACGGGTATTTTGGTCATTCCAAGGGTGGATCCCTTTGTATGGATTCTTGCTTAGGATCCCCTCCCTATATTTGTTTGATTTTGTCATTTTGTTCATTTACATTCTTTAGTATCATTTTCCCATATTTTACCATTTTATCCTTTCCTCAAGGATTATTTTAGTCCTTTTATAGATAAATCTATTCCCTATGGATTTTCATCTAGGAGCTCTACCCAACATCTGTTTTGTTTTCTAGCCTTTGTATTTGCATCATGTCTTCTTGTTTTTCCTTTTCAGTTTAGTTATCATAATTTTTCCCATTTTGCTTCATTTATGGATATGGACATTTTGTTTCTTTCAAAGGTGGATACACCCCATCATGGTTTTCACCTAGTGTCTATTTCTGACATTTCCTACCACCTTATTTTTAAATTTTGGAAAACACATGTCAGTTTCCATTTATGATTTTCAATAACCTTCTTAGCTTTAGTCTTATCCATCTTTTTGTTAATTTTATGCTTTATTTCCATACCTATTTCAAGACCATACCTATGAATTTTATTTAGGAATTGTGCCCCATAACAATTTCATCCTTTGATAAGCTTGGGTTTCCCATTTTAGTTTCTTGTTTTTTTCTTTTTAGAATTTTGATTTCCTTTAATAAGTTTAGATTTCATGGTTATTGATTTAATTTTGTCACTTTAGTCATTCATCAAAAAAACTGTCACTTTAGTCTTAAGCATGTTGCCACTATTCGAGTGATCTAATAAAATCCGGATATCTAGAAGTCATGCCACTTTTTGGAGTTTCAAAGCACCCATGTTGTTAAGTTTGAAAAGTTTTGATTATTTAGAGTGAGTTTTATTTAAAATCAAATTTTGACTTTAATCTTTGATATTTTAACTTTAGATTCAATTTATTTTATAATCTTTCAACAATTTCTGTTTACTTTATTCTTGTTAATTATAACAATGGATGAGGGTGATGCCTCTTGAGGCAAAGAACACGCCATTAATTTTGGACATTCTCTTCATAACATTCACAAATTTTGAATGTAATTTTTTATCAGCAACCATAAAAGATCAACTTACTAATAATGTGAAAAAGAATGCATGCTCAATGTACAGTATTAGTTAAGCAAAAAAATTTTGAGTTTCATCATCAATATTATTGTCACCTTTCCTACTTTTTAGAACCCATTTGTTTTTTGGGAAATATGAGGGGGGAAGTTGGTCAGCAGGAAAGTCATGTTTTAAAAGCGCAAGGCGCAAAAAAGCCACAAGGGTCAATTTGCACCTGAGATGCAAGGTGCAAGGCGAGGCACGTGCCTTTTAAGCAAGGCACAAAAATTAAAAAAAAAAAAGCTAAAAACCAAGAAAAGCCAAAAAATGCAAAAAATCAAAAAATTATTAAGCATAATATTAATAAAAATATAAACTTTAATTTTAAAATAAATGTTTTAAAAAACCTATTGTCTAATATTAAAATACATAAATATAACATGTATAGCATATTCAAATGAGAATTTAACAATAAAATCAAATATATAAAACATTTTCAAGCATATAAAACCCAAAATCTCTTTTTTTCTCAATTGCATTACTTCAAGTAGCTAATGTGATGTAAAACATATTACATTCCTGATTCTACGAGCCACCTTTATACCACGCCCCTTGAGGCAAGCCCAAACAAGTCCACGTTAGGTCTTAAATTCTTAGTTCTCACACAAAAAATAATGGTTTTGTAGTTTTAATAGCTTTTGAAGAAGACATTCATTTAAGTATGCATATATATAGTTACAACTATCTCGTGTCATTTTTTTTGTTAATTAACGCATAAATTTATCAGGAGCTTGACTAGTAAAATATGACGAGGAAAGATCATACCTATGGCCTCTGATGGAGTTATAGGGAAGTCAGACAAGACACCATCAACAGAGAAGACACCATTGTCAATGAAATTAAGATACTCCTTTATTGGATCATAGCTATAGTTGTAGCTAAGAGGTACATCGTTAGTAAAATCTGATGCAAAAACCTCCAGCCCTTCCTTATGAGCATTTGATACAACAGAGGTGGGAGGTTGTAGATATAGACTAGAAGTTACAGGCCATATGGAAGTCTTGGGAACAAGGATTCCAGAAGCAAATGCCTTGACAAATGTAAGATTTTGCAATAGTGAGCCATACGTCTGGTTGGTTGAAGGTTCAATATCATCGGCACCTAGAAAGCGGAATACCAGTTTTGTTGTGCTTCTCCTGAATCGTGCTGCAATACTGCTAAGGAAAGCCACCTCTGGTGATGAAATGTAATTGACAATAACACGTCTTGATACAGAAAGTACAAAGCTTCTCATACTCAAGTTGTGCTGCGTATAGAATGCATCATGCTGTGGAATAAATGTGAGAATAGAAATTAGGTCAAGACCAATTTTTATAATAAAAGCATCGCACCGCATTTGTTCGAAGAATTTATGACACTGAAGTATTCTTACATGTGTCATAAAGTAAGGCCATTACCCAATGTTGGTCCCAACTCCCAACTATTTGAGGTTTTGGGAGGGGTGGACTGGGAACAGACTTAACCTCCAGCGTTTTTTTTTTTTTTTTTTTTTTTTTTGCACAAAGTTGCTTTTACATGTCATAAAGTAAAGATCACAAAGCCTAATATATACTTAATAAAATTTTATGGTTATTTACAGAAAAAAAAAAAGATTTTTTTTATCTATCCACCAAAGCCGAACATTAATAGACATAAAATGAACAAAAAATGTGGCTTCAATATGAGATGCAACTTACAATCTAGGATACCCTGATGTCTGTACATGCTTACTGTACCAGGTTCAAGTAACATGATGTCTATTTGATGCAAAATTGTTATTGCATAGAGACTTGTAGAGTACACAGGAGAGACAATTCTAGAAATATACAGGTGGTATATTTCAATTTGGCAAGATACAAGTACTGGACAATGAAAGTTCACTTAAAACAGACCGAAAGTAAAAAAGCAAGGTATTCAACATACTGAATGTCCATATGCTGAATTTCAGGAAATGGAGAGTCATGTCAATTTCTTGTATCAGTGTCTCATTATGAACATCTTAGCTTATAGTTTAAAAATCATTTACCTGAATATTCAACCATAAACCTGGTGGTCTTAGGCTCGCCAATTCTTCAACCCTTAGAATACTGAAAAGATTACCATCAAACTTATCTGTTCGAGAGTAAATTCCTTGAGTTACTGTCCAAGGGGGAAATAATTATTAGTAAAACATGTGATCTGGTATTGCCATAAAGCAATGAATGATAAAAAAAAGTATGCAGTATAGACTAAGTAACTTTTCATAGGCTCCAGATCTTGAAATCCATATAGGTCTAAATAATATAAATTTTCAAAAGAACCTACTATGTCAATAAAAACTTCAACTAGCTATTTATCAAAAAATAAAAATAAAAACTTCAACCAGCTTTCTGTAGAGAAGATAGAGTACAATAGCATAAGACAAGAGAAAACACAACAATTTCATCCACATGCATGGCAGTAACAACCAAGATTTTGGCTTCAATTATTGTTTTAGTTTTATGGCCCAATTATAATCTAGGGATACTCTTCCATGGTCTGTAATTTGGTGGGGCATAAAAGGAGCCAATGGTCCTTGGCAGCTTGATAACTAGGTGAAGCATATAAATTTTTTTTATCTGATTTGATTACTTGTGTGTTTCTCATTAATAGCAATGCCAAGATTCTGCAAAATATATTGAAAATTCGATGCTCTACTGTTATGACGATATTTTTTCTGATCAATATTTTCTTTTATCTCAATTTCATGCGATAACAATTTCAACATCACTTGAGTCCAAATCTTCATCTTCCTCAGCCTCAGACCCCGTTTCCAAGTTTGCAGCGGTTTTTCTACACCATATTTTCTTCCAAAAGGTTGCTTTCACTTCCACATTTTCACTTTGAATATGTTTTATATGTCATTTGAGCCAATGGGATTTTTAAAACATTTAATTTCTTTTAAAATTCAGGCTAACATATGTATTATGTTAGAAAGCCCTTGCATCCTCCTCACCTTATGTCTTGCACCTTGGGCACTAGAAGGCCCTTGCATTTTTAAAACACTGAGATCAAGAGAATAGCAAGTAAAGGAAAACTCTATTGGAGAATCACCCTTTCAGCTATCTTATGGAATATTTAGAATGAGAGAAACCAAAAGGTATTCCAAAATAAAACTGGTCACATGGACAATTTGTCGAGGAAAATATTTAGCAAGTGTAAATACAAATAAGTTCAGCACAAAACCTTGTATATGGTATTTCAAATCTTGCATTTGCATTCTTCCCTAACTGAGCCTAAGGTAATAGGAGATTGCTTTTCCTTGATTTTATTATTTTTTTTTTGTAGGGAGGTTTTGTACTTGTGTATCTATTATATAGCCTCTCACTATATAAATACATTGGTGGTTGCAAATGAATTTCAAGAGATTTATGCCCCAAGTAATGAAAATATATGCTTTACCTTTTTCTAAAAAAATCTCTAAGTATCAAGAACATCATGAAATCCACCCTCCTGTGTGTGTATACACATATGTACATAGAATTGTGGCCTTTTCTATGTCATGCAGTTATTACACAATCAGTATGGTTTTTACTTGCAACTCCAGTGAGTGTAAACATACACAATCAGTATGTTTACTTCCTGTCAGTGTTTAAGATTCCAACCAAAATCTCAAACATGTTGGAAAAATTAATGAGGGACTTCTTGTGGGAGCCAAGAGAGGAGAAGAAGGATCATAGGGTGAGTTGGGAGGTGGTAACTAGAAGTAAAAGCCTAGGAGGTCTTGGGATAGAAAATATTAGGAAAAGAAACATGGCCTTTCTAGGGAAGTGGTTGTGGAGATTTCCTTTGGAAAGGGACAAATTGTGGACGAAGATAGTGGCTAGCATTCGTGGGCTGGAGGATAATGGTTGGGATCTTGGAATTTTGGAAAGAACTACAGGCATCTCCATGGAAACTGGAAAGCCATCCATGATATATGTCTAGCATTCTCTCCTTGGATCAGGTATGGATTGAACTCAGGTAACCTAATAAAATTTTGGGAACAAACTTGGGTTGGGGATTCCCCTTTGATAGAACAATTCCCCTCTTTGTATGCTCTATCAAACCTAAAAAATGAACCTATCTCTTCCTTCTTAGTTCCTTCAGTCTCAACTTCTGGCTTTGGGTGAAACCTAGGCCTAAGAAGGGCCATTAAGGATACAGATTTGGACTGCATTTTGACTTTGTTAAATATCCTTGATAATATTTTCCTGGACCCCACTAAAGAAGATATCAAAATATGGACCCCCTCCTCGGGTGCCTTCTCTTATGCCTCTTTTTTTGAAACCTTAACTCATCCTCCTACTCCTCTTGGGTTGCCCTTCCCTGTTAAAGAGGCTTGGAGTAAGCCCATTCCTCCTCGGGTTGGTAGTTTTTGTTGGGAAACTTTCCTGGAAAGAATCAACACAAATGACCTGATTCAAAGAAAGAGACCAATTCTTGTTTATCCCCAAATCGGTGTTCTCTCTACAAGGTTGATGGGGAAACTGGCTACAACCTTATGGTTACTTGTTTGTTTGCTAAATCTATTTGGGAGTGGGCTTTCTCCTTTTTTGGGTGTAATTGGAACCCCCCTTTGAATGTGCAAAGTCTATTTTCTTTGTCCTATTTCAGTTGGCCTAAGAAAAGAGGGAGGATTATGTGGAGATGCATCAGGGCAGCAGTTTGTTGGTCCTTATGGGAAGAAAGGAACTGTCATATATTTTCAGACAAGGAAAGAACTGCTGAGAGTTTAACAAATTTGATACACCTAAGGGTGGTTCACTGGCTGAAATCATTGGACCTTTTTACAAACTTCTCCATGACCGACTTGCTGAGAAATTGGAAAGAGATAGCAAACTCTGCTCAGGTTAAGAGGATTTCTAGACCCATTTGGACTCCCCCACCCTCTGTATTTATAAAACTGAACTTTGATGGGAGTAGTTTTGGAAATCTGGGCCATCTGGGATTGGGAGTGTCTTCAGGAATGAGGAAGGGTTTATTCTGGCCTTGTATTCAGGCCCAATTGGAGAAGGTGACTCTCTCAGGGCCAAGATCTTTGTGGTTTTGGAAGGAATCCAAAGAGCAAGACAATTGAACATTAGAAGATTGGTCCTTGAAGGTGATTCGGAGGTGATGGTTAGATGGCTAAAGGAAGACAACAGTAGCATGTGGAACCTAGTAATGAAAGGAAAAATTCAAATGGCTTGCTAGGGACATTGAGGTGGAGTACAATTGGGTGAAAAGAAATGCCAACTCATTTGCTGATGGGTTAGCTAAGCAAGGGGTGAATAGGTTGCCTTTGTTTTGGGCTAATTTCTAATTTTTCTCTCTTTGTAATTTGTTGATGGGGAGTTAAGTCATTTTACCTCCCCTATATCTTGTAACTGCTTCCTTCTATTTTAATAAAGCTGATTGTTATTGATCAAAAAAAAAAAGGTGAAGTAAGATCTTATTGCATAAAAGGATAATTAGTACAACAAGAGGCAACAGCAGAGGCCCAGACCCCAAAGCAACAAGCCACACACAATACATCCTCCAAAACTCCATACATTGAAGGGACTGCAACCCAGATAGATCAACCACAACTTCAGCATCCTTCGATCTGCACTTGTTAAGGACGATCCTTCTATTTCTTTCAGCCCAGATCGACCACACCACAACTGCAGCCCAGATTGACCATACCTGATACCACAACTTTGTTATCTGTTTTTCAATTGAAATAAATCTGATCAAGGAAAAATCCAAGACCACAGCTGAGATAAATAAAGGAAAGCTGATCAAAGACCGAAGGGGCTGCATCATCAGCTAGAATGATGACTGATTCATCTGATCCATTTGAACAAAAATTTCTTTGAGATTATAGCTCTTGCTTCCCTCACTAAATGTCTGAACATGGGCCTCCACTTCCCTCTAATAACCAGACAATCACAACCTGGGAGTCTCCCTGACTTGATTGAGCTCATCCCTGTTAGCTGCCTACCTTGTAAGACCATCCTCTAATTAGGCTTTCCATGTGAAAGCCTCTGAATTCATCCCTACTTCCCTAGCTCATATCCAATGGGCAACTATAATTGTGATGATGTTTATCATCTCATCTGATGTAGGATTGGTATGATCCAAGGCTCGACTCAAACAATTTTGAGGGAAACTGAAAACTAAATGATGATGGTAAGGCGTTAGGTCCAAGGTTTGGGGTTGAGAGGCTAAGGAGTAGGCCTAGGTAAGGTGGATGAGGGGTTGTATAGGGTTATATAGCTGCATGAAGTGACTAGGAGGGTAGTTTAGTGCTGAAATTCATGTAATAAGCAGAAATTTCTAGAGAGAGAAAATAAATAAATTTCAATATCTCAAGATTGGAATGGAATTTCTTCAAACTGTTTTAGAAGGAAAGATTAGGAAAGTGAACCAAGCATGAGGTTAAATTTGGATTGGTTTTAAGAAAGGTTGGGCACAAAAAGGCAGGAGTTCTCAAAATTAGAAACTTTTGAGAAATAGGGTTTTTTAGTAAGCATTTTTTGAAAACTGTTTTAATGGGATGAAAAAGAACCTTAAATATGGGGAAGGGCTGAACCAGATCTGGGTTTGGTGGGGAAGCATTAGTGAGATAGGTTTCTCTCTCTAGAAAGGTGCATGGATTTAAGAATTGAAGGGAATAGAACACAAGTCCATCAGGAAATCTGCTCAGAATTTTCTTTTTCTTTGAGAAAAGTGTAAGGTATTGTATTAAGAAAAAAAAAAAAAGACACCCATTACAACCTGCACAGACTGGAACTGTGCAGTCCAAACATGTATCTCGATCAATTCTTCTTACAGAAAGAAGTATCATGAACAAGAAACTGGGTATAAGGTGTATTTCTGAATAAACTGTGAGCTGCCATCCAGGAGCATTGTTTTAAAAGGCTTAAGCCTTGAGGTGTGAGGCATACGCCATGAAGCGAGGCACACAGATTTTGCCTCACAACTTTGATTTGAGGTTTAAGACTTTGTCAGAATTCCTCAAGCCTCAAGGCGTGAGGCATAGCTTGAAGCGTAAAAAGGTGTAAGCCTCAAGTATCAATGATTACTTTATGATTTAATGCAAAATATATATATATATATATATAAATATGCATTTTTATAATTCAAAACATATAGAAAAACACTTCAATAATTATAGG